AAGAGACGTGCATCCCCACGTGAAAACCAGAAGACGTGTGCTTGGATCGTTTTCTTCGTCAACGTCATCATCTGGAATGCATACAACTCCTTTGCATTGCTTGTCTTCTTCACCACCATCATCATTCTTTTCTTCTCAACCTTATTCTGACACATCATGTTTCGCCGCAATGTCCTCCAGCTTTCATCGTCACGTCCGTCGCCCCCCTCCCTAACAACCCAAGCCCATCCTCCTGCTCTTGCCAAGAAAGAAACAAATGGAATGCGTCCTGTTGTACTGGGAAAAAACCGAGTTGTGACTCGTGCCAATATCCTTACTGTTGATCCTGACATAAGAAACTACCATCATCCGCAGCGCGCTCTCTCTCTCGCCCCTCTGGGGCCGACGGGGGATCCCTTCTGTTTGAGTAGGAGGTTAAGGTTGTCTCAACAAGCTCATCGCTCTGTTTCATCAATTCCATCTTCATCAGGATCCACTGCCTTGCCTGCCCCCCCTCTCCTTGCCTGCCTCCCTCCCTCTCTTCCTCCCCTCCCTTCTGCGACGTACCGCAAGGAAAGAGGCCATGGTGCGTCCGCATCGCCTCGTCATCTTTCTGGCCCTTTTGCTGTATATGGTATGTGTATACGAAATCGATGAATGTTATCCAGAATAGATCTGTGACTTCTCACCCCTCCTCTCACTCCCTCCATTGGCTCTGGTGCCACACGTCTCTCATATCATCGTAGTCCTATGTCGAATTCTTTCCTCAAGGCCTTCCCCCTGCTTCAAACGCAAGACGAGGACATCAGCTAGAGCTAATAGTACAATAATCATCGAGAACATGCCTCCGACAAGCGTATGTAAAGAGAGTCAGTATCCTGCCACTGAAAGCCTACCTTGCACAGGACGTCCAAACTGCGCTTGCCGACGAAATACTGTATTCCTGGATAGAGAGTTTTGGGGCACGAAAACCGTCCCCTTTGTCCTGTTTGTACAATCCAATGAAGCGTAAAGCGTACGATACCAACGCCTGGAGTGTATCATTCTCCTTCTCCCTCTTGTGCACTCCCAAAAAGTGTCGCTCAGCTACCAAAGCAAGATTTCCTCAATAGAATGTCAGCAGTCTAACATATATATATTAATGGAACACATCCCTGCGGCACCAAATTGCTTGTTGCATTCACCGGCATAAGGCAAGATTTTTCGAACCTCCCCTAACCCAACCTCGAGGTCATCCATTTCAAGTCAATCGGATCTCTTTCCCTCCTTCCCATCCCCCACTCAACGACCAAAGCTTACCGCAGATCGTCTTGGCTACGTTCCGAGTGCAGCTGCTATACTGTTGTTCCTCTAGGACCCGCCGCGTCGTATCACAGAGGCGCGGGACTCGTAGGTTGCTTGCGAGAAGAGGTGTCGAGAAAGATACCTTCCTGCTACATGCGCATGCGGTCTGGATACTGCACCACGTGTCGCAGGCTCCCCGACGACTCCATGCATGGTAGGGAGCATGCTCTGCGCGACGAATATCTCAAAGTATCCAATCCTGCCCTGACGATGTCACCAGTGTCCTCGGAGAGGCATTCCAAGCCACAAAGCTGCCATGGTGCCGCGAACGCCTACTAAACTGGGAACGGTTACGAAAAGCTATGACGTCATCTTTTCTTTTTTTCATTTTCGCACGGTGTTCTTATCGGCATCACAAGATGGGGAGGAAAATTATTTTACCGCAAATATGTCCCATGGGCAGCTTTCATGTCGGACAACAATGGTGATTGCAAAAGTCGTGGTCTCTTTTTGTGGAAGGTAACTCTGCGTTGTGAATGCCTTAATGTAATTATTCAAGTCGTCAACCTCCTCGTACTACTGCTCAAGACATTGGTCAGAACTCCTGGAAACGCCCACGTGAGGGCTACCGATTCTCGTTTGCTCTACATATTTTCTATTTTTGTGTTAATATCTACAACCCTTTCAAATGCAGACGCATTAATTTCTTCCAGCATGTGGTGTGCTTCTTCTACCGCAATCAGCCGGCGCATCTTCAGAACTTCTGGAAACGCCCGTGTGAGAGCTACTGATTTGGGAAAATCTCGTTTGCTCTACATATGGTCTATTTTTGTGTTAATACTCACAACCTCTTCAAATGCAGACGCATTAATTTCTTCCAGCATGTGGCGTGGTTCATCCACCGCGATCAGCCGGCGCATCTTCAAGCTCCTCAACGACCAGGGCAACCGGGAATTCGAGAATTCTTTGACCTACACCGCTTTTTCGCACTGGTTTGATTACAACGAGCTTCCAGGCAGCGCGAGCTGGTGCAAGACGCAAGCGCAGGAAGAACGTGGGCACGCTTTGAAAATTCTTGAACACTTGTCGTCACGTCGGATTGAGGACGACGTGACGGGCTCGGAATGGGAAACACAGGAAGCCGAGCGGCTGCAAAACGTGCGAGGCACGAACAGCAATGGTGACGTACCAACGGAATCCAGTGAAGCATCCGAACGCGAGCCCGACCTCGGCAAGCTGCGAAGCGAGGCAGCCCCCCAGAAGAGCAAGACCTTTCACTGGGAACAGGTTCCCAACATTGTGTTGGACGTGAAGGGCCCCTTTACCACCACATTTTCCGACCCGATTGCAATTTGGCGCAAAGCCCTCGAGCAGGAACGTTACAACTCCCGAAAAATCTTTCAAATCATGGCCGCTGCGCGTGAAACGCAGGACTATGTGACGGAGAGCCTCCTGATGTCATACTACATCCCCGAACAGTTGGGAGAAGAAAAAGCCGTGGAGGAGGTGCTGTCCAATACGGTACGTGGGAGGGTGGGGCGGGCTTGCTGGTGGCAGGGTGGTTGGGAGCCGGGAAAGGGAGGGACAGACAAGCAAGCAGGGGTGGACGGATACAAGGTCTGTTTGAAGCATGGGCGACTCGAATAGCAAGAGAAAGATTCTTTTCGAAACGGGCAAAGACAGCCGCACACCTTGGGGAGATTGTCCTCGTCGTGTCTCCATGGGAGGGTGTATAAACCGGTCGACCAAGGGATTCTCACTTCGTGCACATGTCTCGCATTTTACAGCTTTTGGTTATGAAGCGCGGGCCAGAATTTTACTACGAGCTCGACCGGTCATTGCCATCCAAGCCGCACTAGGAGAGAACGTGGACGGAGAAAGGGGGTCCAGCAAAATGCGAAGAGTAGAGACAAAAAGAGGTGGGGAGGGGTGCGTGGGGAGATAAGAAGGTAGTTATGCGAAGGCCATGAGGTAAAGAGGCAAGGGAATAAGGTGTAGTCTA